CCATGACTATTTTTTAACTGCCAATTTCTACTTATTAATCCCTTCACCTTTTTCACTCATCCTCTTAACCCCCCTGCCATCTGGTGACCATCAATTTATTCTCAATATCTATGTGATATTGTTTCTGTTTTGTTTGTTTATTTTGTGTGTGTTTTTTTAGATTCCACATGTAAGTGAAATCATATGGTACTTGCCTTTCTCTGTATGACTTATTTCACTCAGCATAATACACTCTAGGTCTATTCATGTTATTGCAAATGAGATTTCATTCTTTCTTATAGCTATGTAATATTCCATTTTTTACAGGTGGGGCAAAAGTAGGTTTACAGTTGTTTGTATGGAAAATACAATAATTAATAATACAAGAATAAACTCTGTGTTTTGCATACTCACAACTCAAAACCTACTTTTGCCCCATCCTGTATATGTACCACATCTTCTTTATCCATTCCTCTATCGATGGACACCTAGGTTATTTCCTTTTCTTGGCTATTGTAAATAATGATGCAGTTAACATAGGGGTGCATATATATTTTCAAAGTAGTGTTTTGGATTTCTTCAGATACCAGATGTGGAATGGCTGGGTGATATGGTATTTCTATTTTTAAGNAATACCCAGATGTGGAATGGCTGGGTGATATGGTATTTCTATTTTTAAGTTTTTGAGGAACCACCATACAGTTTTCCATAATGGCTACATTAATTTACAATTCCACAAACAGTGTACAAAGGTTTCTTTTTCTCCATATCCTCTCCAACACTTGTTGTTTGTTGATTTATTGATAGCAGCCATTCTGACTCTTATGAGGTGTTATCTCACTGTGGTTTTAATTTGCATTTTCCTGATGATTAGTGATGCTGAACATCTTTTTATGGGTCTGTTGTCCATTTGTATGTCTTTGGAGAAATATCTATTCATATCCTCTGCTTGAAATGCTCTCGCATTTTGATATTCCTTACAGATCTTAAGATATAAGTCAAACCAGTCACTCATGATGTGTTTTGTTTTTTTGTTAACAAAGAGGAGCAGACATGTAACCAACCCGCCAAGACGTAATCCAATGATCATTTATTAGTTATTCAAACAAGTCACTGGTTTCAAGTTCTTACTATATCTTTTGTATTTACACTGTGTATATGTGTACTGATTTGATGATGTGAGGTAGGTATAAAGTTCCTAAAGATGAGGTTAATCTACAAAGTTGTTAATCCATAAAAAATGATTAAGATTCTCTTCTGTGGCCAAAGAAAATCATACCATGGAGAGAAAAAAATAATATTCTATTAAATTATAATAATCCCTCCATCTGCACTACTCAGTGCTTTAGTGTGAGAGTGGTACACAGTTAGTACTTGGTCTGCACGTAGAGGCCTCCAGACAGTTGGGTAGAATGAGGCAGCAATAACTGTTGCTATTTTGGGGAAAAGTTCTTAAATGAAAATGTAGTCAGTGAAAACTGTGCCAAAACAGATATTGTGGCAAACACTCCTGTAATCAGGAAATACCCAGGGAAAAAGTGCTACAGAGGTGGACACTGAATGGGGTGAAGGAACCTTTCTGATTAGTCAGTATTTTCTGAATTTTATTTTTCCTACCATTTTAGTCCAGGGGACTATATTTGAGATTCTATGAGAGCCCAAGAGTCTGAATTATATAGTTTCTGATAATTATATTGACTTTAATTTCTTTCTTTTGAGTTGGGTGAAATGCAAAAAGGAAGAGGAAGCAGAGCCAAGCAGAGTTTGCCTTCTAGAAAGAAATGAAAAGGCAAAAAAAATGGAAATCAACATTTAATATTAAGGAAAAATGGCCACAGTATAAATATATAACTATTCTTCCAAGAATTCCTTCCTTTCTAAAATAAATACATTTCCTCGAACTATTATGCAGGGATAAAAATTAAAGTAGTAGAACCCAACTGACAGGCAAAATGAAACTGGCACCAGGGATTTTTTTTTTTTTTAACCTACAGCATAACAGATAGAAAATGGAACCTGTGGTCCTTAATAAAGATCTATATTTTTAATATGATGATAACCAGCTGTTAATGGTGATTTATATATTTGTAACAAGATCTCAACTGGCTACAATATAATGAATATATTTTAAAACTCACTGAAGTTTAGGAGCCAGAATATAGCAGACAGTTTGTATTCATAGTCAGGATCCAGCACAAAACATCTTCATTCATCAAGAACCACAGGATGAGTCCAAAGGCTATTAGCGCTTCAGCTAGAACCACCATCTCCCAATAATTTGTCAAAATGATAAAAACAAAGGGAAAGAGGAAAGGACCCCATTATATGTTCTCTAGGTCTAGTAGGAAGCATGCAGCTCTTCCTTTGGCCACATACACGTGAATGCACAAGAAAAGTGATATTGTAGACATCAAGGGAATGCCCCACCAATGTTACCATGGCAAAACCAGAAGAGTCTACAATGTTACCCAGCATGCCTAACATTAGTGTGCTGGGTAAACTAACAAGGTAAAGGGAAAAGTTCTTGTAAAGATAATTAATGGCAATATTAAGTATATCAAGCATTCTAACAATAAAGAGACAGCTTCCTAAAACACATGAAGGAAATGATCAGAAAAATTGTGGTAGAGATTACATGATTGCATAAAATTATTAACATTCAACAAATTGTACACTTAAAATAACTGCATTTTACTATATGTAAATAATTTGGGGGGGGAAAGGAGTCCTTGATTCTGATGGTGGGTCATAGGAACTAGAATAATGGGGTCTAGAGACCTGTGTTGTAGTCCTAACGTGGCGTCTTACCCATTATCTTATTTTGGGTAATTCATTTAACTTTCCTGAGCTTCCATTTCAAATATAAAACCGGACTAAACATACTATCTTTGTCTCCCCCTCATGGATGCTTGTGAGGGCAAAGTTAAAATTGGAAACTAAAAATTGTGGGCTATTATCCAGGAGCAATGAGTAGTTAGCAGCATACCAACACTCTCATCCAGGAAAACCACAACAGATACACAAAATATGGGAATTATCTCTCTGTAGGCAGCAGAAATCTTCTGCAGTAACAAGAACTAAAAGGGAACAAGATTCCAGTATTAGTTTTCCATTGCTGCTGTAACAACCACAATGTGGCGGCTTAAGAAATATATTTATCTCACATCACTGTGAGAATAGAGATTCACTGGGATAAAATAGATGTCATCAGGGCTGCATTCCTTTCTGGAGGTTCTAGAGGAGAATCCATATTTGTGCTTTTTCTGGCTCCTAGAGGCTACTCACATTCCTTGGTTTGTGGATCTCTTCCTCTATCTTTAAAACCAGCGGTATAGCATCTCTTTGACCATTCTTCCAATATCACATCTTTCTCTGTCCTCAGCCATGAAAGCTCTTTACTTCTAAGGACTCATGTGATTAGAACAGATTTACCCAGATAATCCAGGATAATCTATCTCCCTGTATCAAGGTCCTTAACCTGTTCACATCTGCAAAGACCCTTTTTCCATGAAAGATAATGTATTTACACTTCTGGGCACTAGGATTTGGACACTTTTGGGGAACCATTATTCTGCCTATGACAACTCCGGCAGCGGGGAGGGGGTAGTGGAGAAGAACCCCAGAGAACCACTTTTATTCTGGGATCACTTACCAATTGTGAATTCTGCCAAGAGTCTGAGAATCTAGGCTTTGTACCCACAAAGGGCATCTGCTAGGGGCATATAAATAATCAGAGCATTAAGCAAACTTAGAACCTCTAAGTAAATGGCTAGTTTTCCTCTTAGCACATTTGATAAATGTGGATCTGTGTGGGTCAGGATGCTAAAACCCTAAGTGAAAAGTCTATGAAATGCAGAGTATGGTTTTTCATTACTTTTGTGAGCAGAGATTAACAGTTCAAACTGTTTTAGAATGAAGGGCCTCATACAATACACAGGCTCTCAGTTGACCTTCAGGCTGAAAGGTCAGGGGTAAAACAGAGGTAGACTGAGCGTTATCAGGTATACAACCAGCTTCTGGATATACAATTTTAACACAGTCTCTGACTGAATTAAAACAAGTGGCCACCACTCTATCTACTCAGCACAGAGAAAAGTGTACCCTCTCTAGGGGAAGGTAATATCTGCTAGGAGTGCAATATTTTTAAAATATCTATCTGAAATTCAATTTAAAAACTCCTAGACATTTCAAAAGGCAAGAACAAATGATTAAAAAAACCAACAGACAAAATATACCCACAAGTGACCTAGATAGTGAAGTTTAGCAAATAAGGGTTTTTAAAACTATGCTTAATATGTTCAAGAAAAAAGTTAAAAATACGAAAGAAAAATACACCTATGGAGAACTTCATCAGAGAACTGGAATTCATAAAAGAGAATCAAACAGTTATTTTTAAGGACTAAAAAAAGTACATTTAAAATTAAGAACTCATAAGATGTGTTTAAAAGCAGACCAGAAAAGCAAAATGATGAAATTAGTAAATTACAGAGCACGTTAACAGAAATTTCCAAACTGAAGTACAGAAATGCGAAAGAATGGGAAAATACAGAAAGGAGCCTGAGAGATTGTGGAATGCAATAAATAGCTGAAAATTTGGGTAATTCAAGTTCCAGAAGGAAAGGAGAGAGAATAGGAAAAAAAGCAATAGTGAAGAGATAACAGGATTTTCCAAAACTAATGAAAATATCAACCTAAGATTCACAGGGCTCTATAAGTCCTATGCACAATAAACACAAAGACAACCATCAGTGCACATCACAAACTGCTGAAAATCAAATAAAAAAAGAAATTCATAAAAACAGCTGAGGAGGGGGGGAACACATTACCTTCAAAGGAGCAACAATAAACTGACTGTTGATTTCTCAGAAGGAACAATGGAAGCCATAACACAATGGAACAAAACTTTAAAATACCAAAATAAGATTTCTGCAGATTAGAATTCTATACCCAGGGAAAATAAATCTTCACAAATGAAAGGAGACCAAACTCATAAAAATTTATACACTAAATGTATACAAAAATTTTTACATAAATTTTTCTTTAATAAAGCTTTAAAAATGAAAGAAGAAGAAATATATTTTCTTACCAACAAAAACTGAGAAGATTCACCACTAGGAATCATGAACTAAAAGTAAAAGTAATTCTTCAGGCAGAAGAAAAATAATCACACAGGAAAACATGAGACTTTAGGAAGAAATAAAGAGCAACAAAAAATGTTGTAAATATGCAGGTAAATATAAATGATACTGACATATACATTAATAATTTGTGGGGTTTAAAAATGTGTGTAAAATTAAATACATGACAATAGTAACATAAAATATGGGAGAGTGTTAATGGAACTTAAAGTGTTCTAAGGTTAGCATCCTTGGAGAAGTAAAAAAAAGTAATACTTTTCATGATGATAAGTTAACAATGCATGTTGTAATTTCCAAGGTAACCACTAAAAGAAGAATTAAATAATGCATTACAAGTGAATAAAGAGAAAATGGGATAATTTTCCTTTCTGCCCATAAATTACCCCCCAAAATAATTTAAACACTCTCAATAGCAAATTATTCAAGATTCTCAATTTATAAAACACTTCAGTTCCTATTAGTGTTAGTATAGACAAATGCCTATTACCATGTGATCCGTTTAATTTAGAGTCATTTTTTTATAAAAGAGCAAATTCACAGATTTAGACAAAAAGCAAACATAAATGTTAGTAAATATTTTATTTGAACATTTAAAAATTTACTTTTAGCCACTTGTGTTCACTGTTGCTTAACTCTAACAAGCTTCCATTGGAACTTATTTGAGGGTCGGTCAAAAGTTGGAACTAGAATGTTCAAAACATTCCAAAATTTTTAGAGTCATGCATCCCATCCATCACCATATGTACCTCCCAAAGCACAGCTCTTCTGCGGTCCTGCTCCTCAGTACTTCTTCCAATGCTACATTGTTGATTAATCCCATATTTTCCTTGCTCTTTTTCACTTGATCCCTCACATATATATGTCCATGAAGGACTTAACTGCAATGGAAAGTTCAGGGTAGTTTTGTAGAAATTTTTTAGTTTATAGTCCATCAGCTTCCTAATGTTCCCAAAGAGTCATGCCCTTGGGCAGAGCCTACAGAAGTCAGTCAGCTAGAAAAGGCTGCCCTTCTGTCATTCTGCAAAATTCCATAGTCAGAGCATGAGTCAGGTTTGAGTTCATTCCAGATAAATTAGAGAAGTTGTGACTTGCCTGGTGCCAGCAGGAAGCTTAGTCCAGTTTGGTATTAAATAAAACAAGTCAGTGACATGAATTTTGAACATTGAGGGTGTAAGTGAAGGAGTGGCAAGGGAAGGGGACTCTTGGAGAGAGTCAAGGTTGTCCTGGTTTGAACTTCAGTGCCACACTGTTGATGCAAAACCTCTGACCAGTAGGCCCAGGTCCATCAGGAAACACATGGCCGAGATGAGCTTCACACTGGAAAGGAGAGAAGCCTCTGTCATTTCTCCACTGAGAAAAAGCTCTTTATGTAAAAAGTAGACAAATGAACCCCACGGGGCCACCCAGTGTTGGACATCTGTGTGGGGAAAAAGTCCATTGAATTTGAGTAAGAAATGAAAGCATGTAGAACACAGAAGTGGTAAACAGCTCTCTGCTTCATCAGTGAGAATGTGAGCAAGTTACTGAACTTAGGCCTTGATTTACTCATCCATAAAATAGGAATAATAACTACCTATTTAATAGAACTATTGACAATTAATTGATATAATACATATAAAGCATTAACATAGTTCCAGGGTAAGTACTCAATAATGTTGTTGTAGCCAGTGTATTATTTTTTTTTATTAAAGATAAGACTATGCTCTGTTTATCTGCTTGCCTCTGGTATTTTACAAAACCAGAACATTAGAGCACACAAGGATATCAAAATGAACACGTTGTCTGGACTTAAGCGTTCTCTCCTACCAAGCTCACAGAGGGAATAGTGTGCTGATGTCACCTGCCGCGTCACTCTGTCAATGACACACTGCCAAGTAGGGAAAAAAGTAGAGAGATGTCAACCATACTAGGTCTTTGCTGCCTGTCCCTGTTGAAAAGAATGTATAGGGCCAACTCTTTCTTTCAGACCCTCACTCTGCTCCCAGCCCTGGAAGGCTAGAAACAGGAGAGGCTACTCAGGGAGTGGCTCAGGAAGGCTCTTTCTCTTATCTGAAGTGCCCAGAATGATGAGAGAGGGATCGGAAGCTGCATGAGTAGAAAGCCCATGTGCTTCAGTGACAACTAGATATGCCAAGGACAAGAGAGCTCTTTGTGGCCCTCTGGACAGCATCAGGGAACACCAAACAGACAAAAACAAAGAAACCCACCTGTTTGCAGACAACCTCTGTGCGAACTGCTCCTAATGAGGTGTCCACACGTCTCAAGATTCCTGTGCCACTTTCATCAGAGCCAGATGTACCATGGGCCTCAGAAAACGAAGGCCATCCAGTGCCAGAGCAGTACTTTTTCTCAGAACTAAGGAAGACATTCCCAACACTACTGTTATTAACATACAAATAGCATTTTATACCCAAACTCTTTTTCCTACCAAGCAGATCTGATTTCCTCTCTCCTCTGCTAGGTCCCAAGGCCAGTGACATGAGAATCAATTCCACAGGAATTTTGCCCACTGCACCTTCACTATTAAAACATTGCCCCATCGCAATGAAAGGCTTTCTTGTTCCTTTGATGCTAAAGGCTTCCCTCTCAATGTCCAACAAGGACCTAAAAACACTAGGAGCTTTGTGGACTGTGTTGCATATTAAGAAACACAGATCAAACCCACGTGTTGTAAACGTAGAAAAGGGGGAAATCAAAGTGAAATAACAGTGGCTGAAGGAGGGCATATGAGCCTGGCATATCAGAGAAGCATGAGGTCTGATGAAACAGCCACTTTCAGCAATGGAAATTTCGGATTATCTAAACACAGAGGCCTGACTACCTCAGGGACCCAAGGGCTGCCCCTGCCACTTCTCAGCTGTATGAAATTTGGCAAGCTGCTTCACCTCTCAGCCTCAGTTTTCTTATCTCTAAAATGGGGGTAATACCTACCTTATGGAGATGTTTTGAGAATTTAAAGAGCTACTCTGTAGAGCACATGATAAGTGCTTATGAATGAACATTCACTATGATTTTATTATTATTAATAAATAAGCCTGGTCACTCTGGGTCAATCACTGCAGTGAAGCCTGGCCCTGCCGGGGAAGTCCCACAGGCACCAGTGGGGCTGAAGGCTGGGGAGGGACAGGGGAGCTGGCAAGAGGAGGGCAACAAGCAGTCTGCCCAGCAAAAACCCACTTTCTAAGTGCTCTAAAAGATAAGCTCTTTTAAATGGCACTAGGAAAATAGATTAAAAATTTTTTAATGACAATGAGATGGCTCTAAGAAAAAATGAGAAGAAATGAATTATATACTTAGAAAAAAAAAAAGCTGAGCAAAGTGAAAAACAACAATTGGCAAATAATCAAATCCCTAGACTACGAACAGGGAAAGAAGCTCAGTTTAGAGCACAAACTCCAGCAGAAACATCTAATGTAATACAGTGATTCTTCAACATTCTGGTCTTGGGATCCTTTCATACTAAAAAATTATGGAAGATTGCTGAGAGCTTTTGTTTACACGAGTTATGTATATCAATATTTAACAAATTATAAATTAAAACTGAGAATTTAAAAATATATATATACATTATTTATAAAAAAGAATAAATTCATTACATAATATAAATGGTGTTTTTATGACAGTTATATTTTCCAAAATGAAACAAATATTTAGTGAGAAGAGTTGCACTGCTTTACAATTTTGCAAATCTCTTTAATGTCTGGCTTAACTAAGGACAATTGAATTTCCATATGCACTTCTGCATCCAACCTGCTGCAGTGTTGTTGATTGAAGTGTAGGAAGAAGGTGTGGCCCTGCCAGTATGTGGTTAGAAAAGAGAAGACCTCAGAGGTCCCCTAAAGGGGTCCCAGGAACTCTCGGGGTCCTCAGACCAGGCTTTGAGAACCATAGGTATGACTTTCAGGACTAAGGGCTTCGACTTCTGAAAGATTTGGGTGTGAATGCAGGCTCTGCCTGTTACATCTATGTGACCTTGGCAAGTTATTTGATCTTTTAAAGCCTTAAGGCCTGGGGGGTGGGGTGTGCGGTGGAGGGGGTCAATGAGGAAAAAAGGGACATCTGTAATATTTTCAACAATAGGTAAGTTAAAAATAAATAAATAAATAAAGCCTTAGCATCCTAACCAACAGATTAGTAATGGCATCATTACCTCACAGGGTTGTTGAAAAGATTAACTGAGATACTTTCTGTATAGCAGTGTCAGACACATGGTACATAAGTCAACAGCTAGTATTTTTTAATATCATCATTATTATTAATAACAGATATCCATGACATTTCAACATCTGTGGGTCCAATTAGAAGTGTCTGCACATTCAGGCTGGGTTCTTTGCAACCCTTTTGCAAGGGTTTAAAACATTAATCCATGCCACTCTCGCCCAGGGAAAAACATCTTAAGTAACTTATAAATATATCCTTTCAACTCTCAACATTATATATAAACTAGTGATCATTAAAGGAATTTCAATGGAGAATTATGAATACAATAAATCTTTTTAATGAATGAATCTAAGACTAATAAAAAGTCATTTAAAACATTTTATGGGAAACAATAAACCTTTATTAAGACAATTAACAGAATCTGGAGATTTTGACAAGTAATATTAGAGGGCCATCATGCATAATTAAGACTGGGAACCTAAATATTAAGGCCAATTAGAAATTCCAATATACATATTGAAATGATTAGCAGATTATAAGGCCCACCCTTGAAAAACTAAAACCATTCTGGATAATTTCTCCTCATATACTCTTTCATTTATTATTCATTTCTGGAAATTCTACAGCCTCCAAACCAACAGCACAGGTGATAACTGACAACCCTAGTATCTTAGAAAATTTTCTGTTCATTTGAAGGAATCAAGAGTACAAAAACAGGTTTTAAACAATGGTAGTTAACGGTAACATGTAGAACATCGGATATTACATAAAAAGGGAACTAGTAACAGGCTCTCTGTTTTCTTCTAAGATTTTGACCATGAAATATGTGACCCCACAGATTTTCATAAACACTTCCAGAATGGGCATCTGAAGGGAAGGAGAAGGAAGGTGAAGAGAGGAAGTAGGGAAGGGCAAAGTCACAAAGTGACAGTCTGGAGTCCCCAGGGGATTGATAACATCCTGAGAGAGTTCTCTGGAAACCCTGAAAACCCTGATTTAAAAGACTCTGATTTGGAGAGTCGGCAGCTCTCCCAGAACATGCCCCATATTCGTTCTGTGCAAAGGCAAGTCTGCGGGCAACAACGAACCCATCTGCCAAGAGGCAGTGGTCCCACATCCACATGACTATTTAACTATTTAGTTTTGGTTGACTGACGTTTCACCCCCTTTTAACTCTATACAAGTATTTGAAGGAATGTTTATTTTTCTCTAACTCTGATCCCTGTTATTGAGGCTGGTAACTGCGGACAGAAAGAGGGGGGAAAATGAGAGGCAAAAGAAGAATAATTCCTAGGACTAGCCTCTTGAATGGGAAGCATGCTCAGGAATATAGTCTTCATTTCTAGATTCTCATTAATTAAAATATACTCTCAAGAATTCCTCATTATCAAAGATACATTCATGTATGCAGCCCTAAGAAGGATCTATCTCTATCACTGCTAGTATTGTGTGCTTAGCATGTGTCAGGCATTGCTCTGGTGCTCTTACATGTATTAACTCATAACTCAGTTAATCCTCCCAACAACCCTACAAATTTGGTACTACTGACATGCTCACTTTACAGGTGAGCAAGCTGAGGCACAGAGAGATTAAGAAACTTGCCCAAGGTCACAGGGTAATGGAGTCAGGATGCATATCTAGGCAGCCTTAACCACTCTGCTATACTATAAACAAATGTATCTTTAAAAAGAGTATATTCTGGAACCTAAATGATTCTTATGAATATATTCTTATTTCTCTTAGTCTTGGCTGCAGCAGCAACAGGAAAATGGAACAAACTCAAAAGTCCTTAAAAAAAAATAAAAACTTTTCAATTAAAATTAAGTGACTGAAAAGAAACAAATAACGTTGGTGAACTGGAAGTTCAGTAAACTGGCCACTTGATAAACAGCCTTTTGGAGAATTAGCTGGCTTTCCTGTTAGAGTTGGCTGCTTCACTACTTTAGTGACCTGGGGCTGGTAGTTCAACTTCCTTAATTTAGACTACCACTGTACTAATACAGTAGCCTGGCCACATGCGGCCTTATAAGTTAAATTATTTAAAAGAAAAGAAAACATTCAGCTTTTCAGTGGCATTAGCCACATTTCACATGCTGAATAGCCACATGAGATTAGTGGCTACCATATTAGACAGAGCAGATATAGAACACTTGCATCATCGCAGAAAATTCTACTGCACAGAGCTTTCTGCTCCGGTCTCTCGGGTCTGCCCTGCTCCCACATTCTGTGATTCCATGCCTGACCTACGTGCTGGGGTGGCAGACATTGTGTAGGAAGGTCTTAACTTTACTACTGCATAAACTAGAACACCAATGAAGGGGGGGGAAGAATAAAATGCAGGGGAATGCTCTTACAAGGATGGCTTCTAATCTTTTGTCTTCATAGCCCAAAGACAGAAAGAGAACATCTGTCTTGCTGCCTTATGGTCAAGGCAGTCCTTGATACTTTTACAACATGGTTCCTTGGCTTGAAGCGGGTTGGCCATCTCAAGGTCCTACTTCTTCTCTTTAATAGGACCAAAGATCATGGAATAATTAATGTCTGAGAATACACATCCCATATTTTACTGTGTCAAAATTAACCTTTGTCTCCTAGTTGTCCCAGGCCATCCTGGGCTGACTGCCATCTTAGATATCTCCTCACTGACCACTGACAAAATGAATGAATCTGGGCAAAGGCCTGCCTTCCGTGAGCATGAAGGAAAATCAATCCTAATCATTCCTCACCCATGAAGGCAGGTCTGGCTTTCCAAATTCAGCCCTCATTAGCAGGAAAGCCCAGTCTGCTCAAAGCCCAAAGGACATAATGAAGCACTGACTAATGGAAGATTCACAGAACTGTCCTGATTTATATTTTATTCTAAACCAATTTAGGGTTGATTCAAAAGAAAAAAAAACACCTTTGAAGTTCTGAAAAACAAGACTTCAAAGATGTTTTCCTTTATTCTCCATTGAGTCTACTTTTTTAGACTGTTTCCTGCATGTCTAAACAAAAAAGTCTTTGTTGAGAGATTTCAGATTCTGATTGACTCAAAAGAGGCTTTGAAATCAAGGGACAATTAAATTTACTTTTAGCTACATAGAAGAGGGCATGGTACTCACTACTGTCAAGCATTGTGGGGAATCTGTCCTCATAAAATTCTACATTTCCTAAATCGAATTATAAACCCATTTTCCCTGGGAGAGATACAGTTTTAATCACATGGCCAAGCAAATACTATTATGGTTTAGATTTCTTTAAATACTTTCCCAGGAAAAAATTCTAATAGCTTTCTCTTAAGATGCCCACCATGTTTTATAATTTTGCAGTTTGTTGGGGATATAGAAAGAAAGAAAGAATATAGGCTAAGAAGCCTTGTTAACTGCTCTAAATGCTAGAAATAATTAGGACAAGCAAGTACCTTATACAAATAGCTCTCCTTATAGCAAGCATTCCAGATGCGAAGGACAATTAAAAACAACATATGGTTTTATCCAAGGCCTCAAATGAGGCAGAGTTGAAGGACCTTAGACGTCTGTTCTCCTTCAGAATTGCTTGATCTTTTCTCTCACCTGAAGAGTGGGCTGTCACAGCATACACAGTGATACATTCCGGATTCCTTGTTATTCAGGTAGATCCCACTGAAAGGCTGAAAGTCAATTAGATACATCATGTTCAGGTTTCTCATAACACCAGCAGGAGATAATACAGTAGATTTAAATCCAAGATGAAGTCCCCAAATAAAGGACTTTTTGTACTAATTTGACAAAGAGCAAATATCACCAGAGAGAAAATTACCACACACCCAGTGAAACAGACTGCAGGCTTATTTACAACCCAGCCTTTATTGTGCCAAATATTTAAATTATGACATTAATAATGCCCTGTATTAACACAGCACCTTTCACTGGGGAACATCAAAGTCCATGAAAAGGGGAGAGAACAGTCCTCTGGATTGTATAAGATTTCAGTCTCCGTTTGGAAAGAGTCAATACAACAGGAATCTAGTCCTGTCAAAAACCCTTTGAAATCTTCAATTACAGACAGAGTATAAACACATAAGAAGTATAGCTCAGTGAGATGAGGGTTGTGCCTTTATGATGTTTCATATAGTGTTTAGGACACTGCAACTTAATAAATGTTAAACAATGAGCTTGATTCTCCCAGTGCCTAAGTGACGACTTAGATGAAATTACTATGCTAATTGTGGCTTCAGAGTTCGAAGGTTTTCAAAGGTCTCCCGAGAGGAACACAAGGAGAGTTGAGGCAATGAGTGAACTCAATCAATGTTTTTTAAAATGTTATTTTACAAACTAACCTCATTGGTTAAAAAAAACATTTTTGTCCAATTCTTTGTTATCTCCTTTGTCAAATAAAATTAAAGGGGAAAAAAACCCTTTCACTAGCCAACTATGAACCACTGTCCCATTTTAAGGGATGGAAGGGAAGAGGAAGTACAGAATGGCTCACTGAGTCACAGAGCTGACTCAGGAAATACGCTGGACTCTTCTGGCCTCTCTAGATTTCTCATCTCAACAAGTTCACAGGTCAAACATTCAAATTTCCTGTGGTGGTATTAACAGCACATTTCTAGTGAACTAAATAATGGACAATTTCAAATTAACTTACTGAGCCTACCATCTGGGCACACTTGGATATTTTCCCTCTTTAAAGACCCTAAACTTAGTTGAAGAAATCTGAAGGGTAGTGAGCCAGTGGTTTTATGGCCCATCCCTCTGAATGCTTGCTCCCAACATGGGTGCAAATGAGCATCTCTCATGAGGAAGAAGTTTCACATCCCTCCCACCTGGGCTGATGAGACACACATGCCCAAGGGCTTCCAGTCCTAATGCTGACCTAGAAAAGCCTATTCATAGGATCCAGACAGAATGATAACATTAAAAATATAATTTTGTCATTGCATCACTGCAGGGGGCAGCTAGACAGAGGAAGTGACAGGGAACTGGTATTATAGCTTTAAAAAACTGAAATAAAAAGGAAGCTCTAGCTGACATATTTGATGAAATGGCATCTCTGAGCTGCCTCCTTGCCTGATTTCCCAATGTCCCCACTCCCTTCCCCAATTTTATATCAATCCTTGCTCTTATTTAGGGCTAAACTCAGCTTCCATCTCAATTGTTTATACTAGTGTTTACATGAAAACCTAGTATGTGCCCAGTGGAAACTTAAACTGGGTGTGCACATGACATCCACATGAAGAACGGGGTGGAGCAGGGGCAAGAAGACACTGGAGGCAAAGAGCAGTCAAACAGCCACTAACACAGGCCTGGACTTAGCTGTTGCAGGAGCAGTGGGAATAAAAAGAGGATAAATCCAATAATCACTCAGAAGAGAGAACTGCAGTGACTGCATGGGGAGGGGGACAGGCTCAGGGACAGCATGGCACTCAAGATACCCCTTGGGTTTTCAAGGTCTGTGCTATGGACTGAATGTTTGTTGAAGCCTAATCCCCAATGTGATATTTGGAAGTGGGATCTTTAAAGGTGACTAGGTCATAAAGGTGGAGCCCTCATGAATGGGACTAGTGCCCTTATAAGAAGAGACATGAGAGAGAAAGCTGCTCCCTTTCTCCATCATTTGAGGACACAGTAAGAAGGCGGCCATCTGTACACACCAGGAAGAAAGCTCTCTCCAGTCATCGAATTGCCGGCTCCTTAATCTTGGACTTTTTAGCCTCCAGAACAGTGAGAAATAAATGTTTGTTGTCTAAGCCCTCCAGTCTATAGTATTCTGCTACAGCAGCTCAAACTGACTAAGACAGTCTGTCTGGACCAATAGGGGATCTCCCTTCTTTGACCTTGTCAATACAACATACCTGTTGGAAACAGATGACACCCTGAAAAGGGATGATTCGCAGATAATTTAGTACAGAATTATTTACAAAGTTGGGGATGGACAAGGCCAATGAAAACCAACAAGGGAGAGTGAAGCACCCCTGGGCCAGTGACCATAAGAACACACTACACCCACTAGGCCTGTGGGACAAAGGAAGGGGCAGTTACCAAAACCTGTGACACTGCAGCTACAGATGAGGGCTGCCTATGGCAGCTGCAACCTACACTAGAGGAACACAGCTCCAGGGAGGACCGTGGATCCTAACTTCTCTATCCTGCCATCTGATCTCTCTGGCATCTCCCATTGGTCAAATTCAATTACTAGTAGCTAGAGGGCAAGGGAGATGGTTACTCTTCCCTGAGCTGAGAGCAGGGTAAAGCAAGTGGAGAGCAGATCTGGAGGGCAGACAGAGGATGGTCTGCATAAAGCCTACCTTCTATTGATACCTGACTTTTAGTTATTGCTCATCCACGCTGTAAACTCCACCATACCTAGCAGAGTGCTGACACATTACTGCTGCCTAATAAAAGCACGTGGAACTTGATTTTAATTTTGAGTCACACATAGAAAGCTTAGATGTTTTACTTCTTTTTCCTTAGCCTCATGAAGCTAACAAAGGCTTATATTCTAAAAAGTTAAATGTGGAAATGGATCAAGTAAAAGGGATTTATAACATTAGTTAAAATAATGGATGAGGCTCATTTTGTAAAATGGCCAAATGCACAGAGTATAATGCACCATCTGTCTGAGAATCCCACAGATTTATTCTCCTAAACATCTGGCAGCTCATCTCCAGGCTCTGTATATACACCGAACTCTGCCTGAGAACAGGGCTGCCTTAGAATATTCTGGGAATACACACAACTGTACAGAGCATCACGTATGGCTCCCTTGTGCCACCACAATAATGGTGAACATTGTCTCTTTCCCAGTGAAGGCTTTATTAAAATCCTGCCCACAAGAAGTTTCCAAAAATACCAGTCTTTCATAAAAATCTTTTGGGATCTGCTGTCACGTCTTATGACTTCAGCATAGGAGAAGTTGAGGGTGAGACCATGATTATAAGGCCACATGCACATGGACAGCTACTTGAACTTTGCAGGGATCGCTAAAGTAAATATATAAACACTCTACAACTTTGCAAAACCACTCCCTGGGGACTGCTTCAGAAGTGAAAGCATCTAATAACAAGTTCAGTCCAGTAGCCACATTTGGGTCTAAGACAGCCCACTTGTTAAGAAATGCAGGGCTGTAAAAATGGTATTATAATGAGGAAACACTGAGGATTGTTCTCTCAGGAAATGAAATAAGGTGAGATTGTTGAATGTAGTGTAAATAATATTTCCACTTCTTAGCCTTTAGTCATTGAACATTCAGAAAATTTATTTTTTGAGTGCCAGACATCATGTTATGTTCTATGGATATACCAACGATGGATAATGCTATGAAGGAAAAGGACCAGTAAAGGCAAAGCCAGCTTGGGGCTGAGAAAAGGCTTCCCTGAGGAAGTGAGGTTCCGGTGGAGAGCTGAAACATAGGTCTGAATGAAGTTGGGGCGGTGGTGATGAGAAAGGAGAAAGGGCCCTAGGGGAGAAGGAGCCCAGGGAGTGTGAGAGGTGAAAGGACAGTGTGGCCAAAGTGCACAGACCGAGAGGTAAAACGGCAGGATTCGAGGATGGGGAGGGGAGGAAGGGGCCAGAGCCATTAGGGCCATGCTAGCTGTTTAAACACTTCTCTTTACCTTGGAAGCAGTGGGGAGCCACTGGAGGATTCTGATGCGATCAGATCTGTGTTTTGAAAAGATGTGTTCGGCGGCTGTGTGGAGAACGGCTGCATGAGGGGCAAGAATGGCTGTGAGTAGAACAGTGGGAGGCTCCTGCCGTCCGAGCAGCGAGATGGCGGGCACCTGGACCGCCCGGCAGCAAGAGCAGTGGGGACAAGCAGAGTGACGGGAGGCAACGCAGGAGGCAGCATGGCTGGGGAGGCGACGGAGGGCGGATGGTGACGTGACATGTCCGGGGAAGAGCTCTGGTTTCTACACCTAGATGGGTGCCGATGGCCTGAGAAGAACAATGGAGGGGACCAGATCTGTAGAGCAGATGACGATGAGCTAGGTTTGTAACTAGAGCTGTTCCAACCCCGATCTGCACGCACGTAATCAGGAAACCGTCAGTCCGCTCAGCTTACCGGCTCAGTTCCTTTTTCTCTGGTCACATAGAATTGCTCTGGAGTCAGCTTCTTTCGCCACTCACTCTTGGGGAGGGATGGCTCATGCTTTGTAAGAGACCCTGTATTGTTAAATAAGATTTTTTTAAATTAAAACAAAAAGTGCAATGACCTTTTCTTCCTCAGCCTTCCTCCTGAAGTGCACTATCAGCCCGTAAAAAAAGGCGGTCACTGCCCCTCTCCCACTCCTTCCTTCTTCACAGGGACCAGAAAGCTCTGGTACAAAATGATTTAATTGAGTCATTACTTTAATAAGAAATGAGTAATAAGTAGAGAGCCAGTTTTCTACTCCCCCTGGGGCAGAGAAGCTAAAGAGGCAGCTGAAATATGAAATAATGAAGAATAAATTCTCCTCAGGTAGGAAGGGTAGAAATTGATCCTTCTTCCATTACTGCGTTCAAAGGAGTAGCTCCTGTCAGGATGCAGCTGGGAGTAGTGGAGTGATTGAGAGAAAAGACGGCTGAGCTAGTGGGTTATTAAACTCCTTTCCCTTGCGGGTTTATAAAGGTATCTCTAATTCTGTTTGTCAAGGGAGGTCTTTATTAAAAAATCTTGTGTAGAAAAAAAGACTCCTATAGCATACATTCCTGAAAGGGAAACTGAGACCCACCATAATCTATTCTAACGTTTCATGGTTTTTGTTCACATTTTGCTTTCTTCTACTCTCTCTGTCTTCTATTATCAGGTAGAGCTGTTTTTGTTACTATTTTAAGAGTAAGTAGGATGAGAACTACTTTTGATGGACATGAACTATTTGTTTAAGCATAACGGAAATGGAAGGCATTCTGTTTTAGACAATTTAAAAGACTGGTAGATATATGGGTATAACTACATTTTATAAGTCCTTCAACCAAGGGCAAGATGCTAAGAGATGACCAGTGCCAATGTGTCAGAGTGGTCTAAGCTGGGACTGGTCACACAAAGGCTACCCCAAAGGGCGAAAAGTTGGAAGGTAAGAGAAAAACAGGTCTTGCTAGTTAGAATGAACTGCCCTGGATTTCTTCTTCCAGAATTTAAACTCTGGTCTAGAGGGGAATTTGTGAAATCTGAACCCTGGCTATCACTGACATCTATCAAGGAAAGGAGCAATAGAGCACTAATGATAAAAGCTCTCCTTACCCTTCAAATACCTGTCCTGCCATGCCACTCCCTGCATATTCTTGGCTTTGACAAAGATCTTGCTTTATTTCCCTGGATAGCTAAGATGAGGATCAACTTTTGATATTAAGGTTGGGATTTATAGTCTATAAAGCAGCCATTATCTTCCTATCTCCTTTTGGGTAGGAAGTGGAATGGGATTAGAGGAAAAAACCTAGTGTCTCCTGGAAGTATTGCCCTTAGTGTCTTTCAACATGCAGTACAATATAATAGTTGACACTGGGAAGTGGGAATTCATGAAGGGGTAAATTCAGTGGGACTCCCATGCTTCAGCGTTGAACCTAAGGCATGAATCCTGTATGAGCTTCTAGCTCCCTCTCCCCCAGCTCTATATTTTATTACACCTGTTAGAGAGTGCCTCCCTATTTTCAGACACCCACCTTCTCCCTCTGCCCTAATTGTTTTTAGCTTAAAATTTATATTTAAACTGTTAAACAAAATAATTTCTCCTTCATCTAAATGCAATAAGAAACTACATTTTTCATGGTTCTTCTAATCCTTATCAATATGTACCTTTTACACTATTATTAATGTGCAGGAAAGGTTTCGTGGGTTGGTATCAATCTTCCCACTAGTTGATGAAGCACCAATTCAAGCACTGATTACACAATATTTTGTTGCCAATCTGCCAGCCTGGATGACTGTGTCAAAAGGAGACAGACTCTGCCTTGATAGCCAAATGACAAGTGTGTCGGTTGGGTGCTCTAAGGTCAGGATATATGTGGTATGTATCACTTGAAGAGGTTTAAACTGGGTGTTATGAGCTGAACTATGTCCCCCCCTCCCCCATTCATATGTTGAAGTTCCAATCCTCAGGAGCTCAGAATGTAATCATATTTGGAGATAGAACTTTTAAAGAGGTGATTAGGTTAAAATGAGGCCAGTAGGATGGGTCCTACCCCAATCTGACTGTTGTCCTTATATGAAGAGGAAGAGACACTAGGGATGTGAAAACACAAGAAAAGGCCATCTGCAAGGGAAGGAGACAGGCCTCAGAGAAAACCAACCCTGCTCGACATTTTGATCTTAGACCTATAGTCTCTAAAACGGTGAGGAGATACATTTCTGTTGTTTTGGCCACCCAGCCTATGGTATTTTGTCATGGCAGCCTGAGCAGAGTAATACACTATGCTTTAGGAAATGACTAAAGTTTGAATGAAAATTGCATTGAGTAAATTTTGTGCAGTTTTACCAAACAGCAATTTAGGTGCATGTACACACAACACACAGTAAGGTCTCACTTGGGAATGCATTAAGTCTTTTGACCACCAATGGCTAAAGAGCAGGACTCAGCGTTGGTCTCCTCATCCTTTTGTTTGTTTGTGTGTGTGTATGTGTGTGTGCATGTGTGTGTGTGCAGGTGTATTCTGTCCTCAATCCACATCACCTGCACCTCATGTGGATCCTTTGGGGATCACATGTCTTTCAGATTCCCTCTGCATTCTCCTGCTATCTTCATTACCAAAAAGTTTGGGCTGCTGCTGCTATTGCATTCGATGGCTACACAGCTCTACATTGAACTATGCTTTGATAAACTCAGATTCCTTTGGGTACCTTTCTTTCTTTGTGCTGTGTACTTTGCACAGGCTGTATTTCTTGTTGCTCATATGTTCCATGAGGTGGTCCTTGATTTTCACATCTTTAAAAAAACACAGTCATGCTCATATGGCCACCCACTGGTTACCTCCTTCTAGTTTTGCTAACCTTTCTGGCCACAGTTGCTGTACTGCCAATTGTCACACATGAGCCAGCCTCGTTTCAGTAACTACTTGTTAAAACTAAAAGAACCTATTAGGAACTGGGGTAAAAGAATCCCAGCCCACTCTAATCTGTAGAACTAACTTTCTCTCCCACCACAGTGACTAGACTGTTTTAAACTTCCGCTCAGATGGTCTCCGAGCAGAGTAACTCTAGAAAGAATGTTTTTCTGAAACAACAGATTATTTTCTCCAAATACTTCTAACTTTCCTCTTCAATTTGCTCTTTGTCAATCTGAATGACAAAATCACAGGGGCCTTGCCTCTTATTTATCAGAAGCCTTAGTGCTGGAGAACAGTCCTCTGTCACTTTCAACATCTCATTTCTCTTTCTCTCCAACCTTCCCCAAGTCCACAATGTGGGTTAAATGTGGACTACACTTTTGTCTTTTCCACTTATTTGTGTAAGTATAACTAACATTTACTGCATGCTTACCAAGTGCCAATCATTGTGATAAAAAGCATTTTAAATTATGTTTTTCCCATTTATTCTGTACAACCCTACTATTGTCATTATCCATATTTCATAAAAGAACAGGCTGAAGCACACCAAGTTCAAGATGTATACTGAAGCCCTTTATAACCTGTTAATCCTTTTTAATGGATGCCTGATAGTTGTTGAATTGAACTTTCATGGTTTATGTAAGCATTCGTTAACTGATGGACATGGGGTTATAGCCAGTTTCTTAAAAGCAGTGTTCTTAAAAACATCCTCACACAGATAGCTTTGTTCTTTTGAATAATTTCCTTAGAATAAATGCCCAGGATGGGGTGTCTGATAAGTTACATAGCTCTAGTTATGTATTGGTGTCTGGCCAAATTTTAATGCTGCTGAAGAACTTCAGGTCCAAAGGCAATTCATTAGGCTGTTTCTGACAGCACCAAGTACATTCATAAAGGACAGGTTTCTGCTGAAACCACTAGCCTATAAAGGGGAGTGAGGAGAGCTCTAGCCTGCAACTGTGGCGTTTCCATCACTGGTGGTTCTCAGCAAACCAGTGCTTGGCACACAGTAGGCAGGCAACAAATATCATAAGATTGGCTAATTATAGACACCAAAGGGTCCTGAAGGCCACGACCGGAAGTCATGTTGGGTCGGCTACTGCTCCACAATGTTGGAGCTTCTATTTAACGCTACGTACTGAAAACTTGCAGGAAAAAAGAGTTCCCAGTGACTGGGTACATTGTCAGCGGCGTTAGGTATCTCTAAATGTCGTCAATGGTAGCAGAACAGAACTGGATCCAGAGATGGCCGGGAAGCCAATCCTCAGGGCCACTAAATTACCCTGACACAGATCTGAAATACAGGGGACTCCGTGCTAAAGGTGCCGGGATATGACAGGGGCGCCACAGGCATTTTACAGAAAACACACACTCCCCTGCTCAGTCTCGGCCACTGACGAACCATGATTATCTGCGTAAAGGGGCCGGGTTATTAGCCCCTGTTTCCCCAGGTCCTGAAACATACACAGAAACAGAGCAGGGCAGGAGGCCAACCCACAGGAACTCGAGTCTGAACCGCCCGCTTCCAGCCGCAAGGGCGACCGCGTGGAGGCGAAGGCCCGTCACCGAGCGCCGCGTCGCCGCCAGCCCCGCGGTTCCGCTCCCGCAGCCCCAGCACAGGCGGCAGGGGCTCCTGAGCCCGAAATGTCACGCAAAAGAAAAAACAAATGTGCGCACGTTCCTGGAGAGGATCTATACCTTTCCCCCAATTCTCTGCGACTCCCCTGCTGCCCCTCCAAGTCCCAGCCGGGTCCAGAACCAGCACGCAGCACCCACGGCGCGGCAAAGAGACGGAAAAACCGAAAGACGGGAGGCGGGGGGCCTGCGAGGCCCGCGTCCTACCTGCGTCCCCGTGTCGCGCCCTGGCGCCGAGGACATCGCTAACCGGTCGGCCGCGCGCAGCCCGTGGAGGCGCAGCTCGGAACGGCAGGCTCCGCAGTCTGCGGAGGAGGAGCGCCATGATGCCGACGTC